CCCGCTGTATTTCACACCCAGCCCCTGTCCCCCAGGCTGGCTGATGCTCAGTGGCGGTGGGGAAAGGACACGACGGTGGTTGCTTGAAAAGGGGGCGTTTATTTTGTATTTCTATTGCATTTTTCCCATCACTGTAACGTGCGCGCTGAGGGATTTCTGATTTTTCCCCTGTGTCCAAGGGCACGGCGCAAACCTGAGCACTCGATAAAAGCCCCTTTAGGCGAGTGACGGGTTTTCTCCGCGTGTTCTCCAAGCGGGGAAGGAAGCGAAACCAAACCGCGCGCTTGCGTGAATCATCTCGGAGCGCGATGCCTGGCTCGCGGAGGATTGCAGCAGCGATGCACGGCCAGAAGGGTTGGGAAGGGGCGAGCGCAGGGAGAAGAGGGCGGTGGGTGCGGGGTGGAAATAGCAGAGAAGCGCTTTATTACGGTAAGCCACGGGTGCAGCCGTCGGCAGCGAGGTCGCTGGAGCCTTCCCTGGTCCCCGCTGCGGAGGGGACCCGGGCTGGGGTGTGCGGGATGCTCCTGCGACGCGGCTGCGGCCGGGGGCAAAGCGGTCGCTGGGCGTAAATCTGAAAACCTCAAGATTAAGGCAATCAGGTGAAAGCGCCATCTCAGGGGGGTTTTGTTGAATTTTGCCGAGTACGCCCCGAAGATGTGGGTGGCTGGAGGCAGAGCTGGGGTGTAGCGGAGCCCGGCAGCTTCTGCTGGGCACTGGCCATGTGAGCACCCCATCAGTGACTGGGTTGGATGGGGAGGTGGTGCTTTGTTTATTACTATCAGTATATTATATGTATGTCACATTTATTTTTAATTTTTGAATGCTAAAAAACAGAAAACACCCAGTGGAGGGTCCTTCTCATCACGTCCCTCCCTCCTCCTTCTCCTGCTCTATTCCCAGGGCGCTGCAAGCACCGCTGCAGCCCTGGGGGCTGTGCAAAGCTGTTTCGCAAGCGGGGAGGGGTCACCCCGACAGCGTTCGCCCGGGGTTCGAGCCTGCGGCGGAGGCATGGGGCCGTGGCGGGGGGCGGCGCCCCCCTTCC